ACATTTAAAAGAACTTAAGTTTACACTCAAAAGAAACAATAAATGGGAACAGAATTTCTTAAAGAAAAGTAAATTGTTAAACTGCATAAAGAAAATTTGGAAATGAGCAGAGTGATTATCATGCTCCCCTCTTTTGTATGGCAATATGCAAAAAGTTTGAATCCTTGGTAAATAGCACCATCCTAACTGATCCTTGCTATTCTGGCCTGCCGGATGACAGGTGCAAATTATTTAGTTATGCCATTCACTTCAATCTTCCATTACATACTTCATTTATAAATCATGATATTGGGATTAACCCTTCGAGGGAAACATTCCCTGCTAACAGCTATATTGTTCAATACCATGGTAAAAAATAATTTGTAGAATTTCTTTTAGTTGTAAGATAAAGCTTTTTCTCCTTTTTTAATGTGTTTGAATTTTGAATTCTCTTCTCCAGGGAATTCTTGCTTTTAAGGATTTCGACATACTCAAAGAGGCAGGTGGCTCTAAACGAGCTATTTCAAAGGAATTTAAGGCACAGGTGTCTGAAAATCACCTTGAAGTCCATCTTTTTTGGGCTGGAAAAGGGACATGCTGCGTACCTGAGCAAGGTGCATATGGACCTTCCATTTCAGCCATCAGTGCTACCCCAGGTAAGAAGCAAATCTTGTGCTCTTCATTTGCTCTTGCACTATTTCCAGTAACTGATTGCTGAATTTTTACATAGATTTTCTACCTACTGTGAGGAACAATCCTCCTTCAACTGAAAAGAATAAAACTGGTATGATTGCGGGGATCATCGTTGGAGTGGCAGTTGTAGGCTTCATATGTATTCTTGCAGTTTTCTGCATTATTCAAAGAAGGAAAAAGTCACGTGCTAATGATGATGACGGTAAGCAAAGAATCTTGCCGCGAGCATGCATTTTCAAAAGCCAAATATGTGGAGGGTATTTTTATCAGGACACGGCATTTAAATTTTTTTTTATGTTCTTAGAGAAAAAATTTCCAATTAGAAAATTGATCCATTTTTGGATAAAAGTATTGGAGGCATTGTGTATCCTCCAAATTTTTCCTTCCATCATTTTCTAATGTTTTATTTTATGAAATGTCAATAAAAGCATTTCTTTTCATGAGAAATCACTGTTCTGGTATATCATTTAAAAAAAAAGTTTCCTTGTTTTAGAACAGTAGTATCAGAACCATTTCATGGAGTTTCTCCTCCAATTAGGTCAATGGTTAATTATGAATATGTATTCTCAGAGGATAAAATACATAAACAATTGGATCAATTTCACTTCAATAACGTGCATTTGGTTTGTACTTGCAGAGCTCCTAGGTATAGATGCCAGGCCATACACATTTAGTTATGCTGAACTGAGAACTGCTACAGAAGATTTTAGTCCTGCTAATAAGGTTGGAGAGGGGGGTTTTGGACCTGTTTTCAAGGTAAGTACCTATTCTGAAGAATGACAAACATGGTGGAGCACACATCAGTTCATTCAAGTTTATTATCAGATATCAAAAAATTAACATTCAATGTTAGCATGTGATCCTTCTAAATTGGTCGTCAAACTCTCAATTTTTCTTGTACATCAGATATGCAAAGATTGTTATATAGATATAATATCATTTAGCATAGTTTTAAATTAGCACTCAACAGGGAAAACTTAATGACGGGAGAGTGATAGCAGTAAAGCAACTATCTGTTGCTTCCCACCAAGGCAAGACCCAGTTTATCACTGAAATAGCAACAATATCTGCTGTGCAACATCGGAACCTTGTGAAACTATACGGATGCTGCATTGAGGGAGATAACAGACTCCTTGTTTATGAATTTCTGCCAAATAAGAGTCTGGATCAAGCACTATTTGGTAGGGGCACAGAGTTCTCTGTTATTTCTACTCTAAATGGATAGCACCATGAAGACTTACACATCACTGGCTTGAATGTGGCAGGGAATAAGAACTTAAATCTCGATTGGTCAACACGCTTTGAGATATGCTTGGGAGTAGCAAGAGGACTTGCTTATCTTCATGAGGAGTCAAGGCTTCGAATTGTACACAGAGATGTTAAGTCAAGTAACATTCTGCTTGACTCCGAACTTATTCCTAAAATTTCGGATTTTGGCTTAGCCAAGCTTTATGATGATAAGAAGACCCACATAAGCACCCGTGTTGCAGGGACAATGTAAGATGATAGACATTCCATTTATCTCGGTATTTTCCATTATTATTTCTATGTAATACATGTTTTTTCTTTGTCATGGTGATGTAGTGGATATCTTGCGCCTGAATATGCCATGCGAGGACATCTTACGGAGAAAGTTGATGTTTTTGGGTTTGGGGTTGTGGCTCTTGAGATTGTAAGTGGGAGACCAAATTCTGATTCAAGTTTGGATGGGAAGAGGATGTACCTTCTTGAATGGGTATGAAATTCTATTTTATGCCTTTTTCCATAGTTGCACCATTTTTGTATTGCCTGTTTCAGGAGCTTCTTACGATCTTCAAACCGTAAAAATGTTTAATTCAGTCAAAGGTTTAGTGAACAATTATGCACGGTTAACTAAATTTTCTGAATTTCAAACAAAAACAAATATACTTAATTATGCAACTATAGTTGTCCGCAGGGGGGCCCTTATCCATAACTTGATCCGATCTGGCTTTATTTGCTTCTGCTTTGTAACGTAATAAAGTGGCTTGCTTTACTATTCTTCTTCCTTTAAAGTTCTGATACATGGATTATTACCTGCAATTTCTTAGGCCTGGAACCTGCATGAAAACAACCAGGACCTTGAACTGGTGGACTCCAGCTTGACAAAAATTAATGAGGAAGAAGTGAAGCGAGTGATAGGAGTTGCTCTTCTGTGCACTCAGACATCGCCTGCGCTACGGCCACCAATGTCCCGTGTGGTGGCTATGCTTTCAGGAGATATCGAAGTAACAGGAGTAATCTCAAGGCCTGGATACTTGACTGACTGGAAATTTGATGATACAACCAGCTTTATGAGTGATTATAAGGAAGCTGATAACAGCTATTGCAACTCATCGATAAGTACAAGCATGATTTTCAACTCTCCTTTAAATGATCATAAACCCATGCTTTCTGAAAGCATCGGAGAGGGTAGGTGAAATCTTTTTCTTTGATTGGAGAACACGTATGTAATTAGGGGCTGTTAATTGAGACACAGATGATTTTAACCTATGTTTTCCTTTCTTTCTGTTCTTTCCTGAAAACAAGTTTTGATTTTCAAGCTTTTCCCTCCTCGTACAAGTTTATGTAGCTGAGGGAATTTTATGAATCTTTTTCACCTTTCAACTTATTAGAATTATGAGTTTTGTCTACCATCAATCTTCTTTCTTTATGTCTCTGTGAGCTCATTTTTGCCCCTCCTATCCAATGTTTATCTGCAATTTCAATTATCTTTTAATTTTTTTTAAAAAAAAAAGTTACTGCAAGTAATAAATTCTCTTTTCTGACTACAGAGGTGATATTTTTATGCTTTTTTTCATGAAAAGATGGGTTGCATATAAAATCGTCAACAAACAGGGGGAGACCAACAGAGAGACTTTAGTAAATGAGGATGGTATGGTTCCAGGAAAAGAGAAGAGAAGCTTTTTAATTCACCAAAATTACTAAACTCTTAACACCATGACCAAGAAACCGAAGACCTAACAAATTAGTAGGTTACCACCATATCTCAAAATTAATGTTTAACCATCAATACAATAAAGTAGGCAGCAAGAGTTATTAAGAACAAGGACTCCCCACCACATTAGCCGTATCACCTAATTCAGAACATCAACCACACATGTAACATCCTATAAGACACATACTGGTTTCTATTATATGTATTTTTAGACCTTCACAAGCCCTCTTCTTCACCTGGCATCCCAGTTTCAGCGTGCTTCATACTGAATAACTGTAGAAATGAAAAAAGTCTTCTAGTCAACGTAACAATACAAGCTTAGATGATTACACGATGCAAACACTTTAACAGGTAATGTTCACGCAAAATTATTAACATTTTATCATGAAATGAACAAAAATTGCTGTTGGCTATCAATATAGAAATTATTAACAAAAATTTCTATGTTAGTCCATTAATATTTAATTGAAATGTTATCCATAACAAGCCTATCGGAAATGAAGTTCTATAGAACTGAACTCGAGTAATTACAACAAAATTTAAACTAGAATAGTCATTGGCCATATATTTACATGGTTGAATTAGGCAAAGATCACACTGCTCATCTCCTAGCAGGCTGAGACAACCATGGAGTAGTTGTCAGTTGTCTTTACTTCATCATGCAAATCAATCCAGGCAGGCAAACTACAATATATTTTACATCAATTAGATGCATCCAATGTAGTTCCTATTTTTCCTCTTTTTTCTTTGATTTTATTTTCATTGACTATTCCCATAGTTCATACACTCGGATCTATAAAGTAATATTTTTGATCTTCTTCTCTTTGAAAGGCGGCTACAATTTCTCTCTCTTCTGAAAAACATTTCTCACTGTTATCTTTGAGAATTATTGCAACTTAGGATGCCGACGTAGATGCTATAGTCGCCATTTTCTGGTACGTTGTCTGTGTGCGGCCCGCCAAGCAAAGACAATGTTTTCGTGGTTTGGCTATGGTCATCGGTCTTCGAGAATTTGTTGCAGTCGAGAGGAAGACTTTCGATGTGGTATCTGAAGGCAAAGGTACTAGGGGTTTTTGAGAATAGGAGGGGGTTTCGGAAATCTATTTTCTATCAGGAGGAGGACATTGAGTGGTTATTGCAGTGCTTTAGGGAGTTCAGATGGTGAAAGAAGATGGTGCTTGGGGAAGGAGCCGAAGGAATAGTTGGAGAACTCTCATGATGATGCTTAGCAGTAATAGAAATGGCAAGTTTCTGATTCTCACATAAAGGAAAGTGGATGCTAGGGGGGATGGGAATAGGGTATTTATCCCTGAAGGGGATAAGGCGGAAGGTTGGTGACAGATGATGGATGCTCCTCATGAGGTGGCTGGAGTGGCATTGGTTCCGCTTGAGTGGGTTACAAAGAAAAATTTGGCTCCGAAGAGGGATGTGGTTATAGCAATAGAGCTGCTGGTCAATGTGTTCAGATGCCCAGATTGTATGAACGTGTTTGAGGCGAAAATGGTGAAGCAACGGGGTGCATCATTTACTGATGTCCTGTCCCAGTCTGAGAAGGGGGAGAATCAGGCAAGGAAGGAGGGGAGTTCGGATCTTACTGGAGCGGGTCGGGGCAATTTGAAATTTGAAAACAAAAGTGGGAGTGATCACGTGAGGGAGGTTTGGGGGGATGTTCCAGTTGGGTTCATGAGAAATAGGCCTAAGCCGGGTAACGCTTTTGGGCTGAATGGGAAGAGGAGGCTCTCATGGGCTGAAAAGGGTAAATGGGTGACCACGCCAGCCCTAGCAAAAAAGCAGGGCAGAAACGGGTTCAGTTTTGGAGACCAAAAAAAACCGAATCTCCAAAAGTTAAAACCCGGTTCATGAAAATGTGCCCCATTCCCACAGTTGAGAAAGAGTCGACGGAATCTAGGGGCTCAGGAGGAATCTAAACTCATCGATGAAGGAGAAATGAAGTTGATGACGGCAGAGGTCAGTGTGGTGGAGAACAAAGCCAGGAATGAATCAAATTGTTTGAATGAAGAATTAACTGAGAGGAACGGATTGGAAGTAAGTGGGAGGGGAACAGATTGGAAGTAAGTAGGAGGGAAATAGAGGTTTCGGGGGACATGGCGAGTAGGGAGAAGGAAAAGAATTTGTGCGATATAGTGATTATGGATGAGCCTTCCGAAGAGGTCTTGAACGTGACTCCAATTCAATGTGATATACTCTTTGAATCCAGTGATTGAATCTGCTAGACAGAGGAGGGATGCATGCAACATATGTACCCTGAACGGGTTCAAAGGAACTTCCAAAAGGTCAGTAAATTATTTGAAGTTTCTTCTCTTGGTGTGGATGAGAGAGTTCTTAGTTTGATTGAGGAGATTGAAATGAAGCATGTTGAGAAATGAAAGTGTAAGACTTCGGTGAGAAAAGTAAAAAAAAAGCAGGGGGAGGGGGAAAGCATAGAACTAAGAAGACTACAATGCTCAGTTAATTATGAAGGAAAAAAGAGTGGTGGGAAGGGGGAGAGGATTCTGTCTAGAGATGTCATTCCATGATCGGAAAAATTATATCATGGAATGTGAGGGAACTGAATGATAAGAAGAAAAGGGGAGTGATTAAAGGGTGCATTGGAAGACGGAAACTTGATGTTGTGTGTCTTCAAGAAACTAAAATGGAGGAGATTAACCAGGTTATTATCAGTGATCTTCGGCAGAATAGAAAGGTGAAGTGGGAGTTTCTTCAAGCGGTAAGTGTGGCTGGAGGGGTGGTTGTTATGTAGGATGGGGATAAATATAATTGTAAGGAGATAGAAGTGGGTAGAGTTTCTT